TTGTAGTTAAATCAGTTCGTATAGACGTCAGGCAGTCAGACAATTTATTTGACGTCACATTTCTCTCAGTCATAAACTGACACTTCAAATTTATTTATCTGTATTGAAAAATATCTCAATGAAGGGCTAATCTGATGTTTTCTATTGATGCTCTCCAAGACAAAATTTGAATTGTCGTGACAATAAATAAGGACAGTAGACAGGGCAGGGCGGGGCGAGGAGATGTGTGGAGGCGAATCGGAAAGGAAGGATCAGTTCGGAGCAGGACAGGCGGCGAACTGGAAGGAGGTTCATTTGGCCTGCGCAAATCATTCGACCCTGGGTCTCAAGACAATATAGTACGGATTAACGCATTCTGAGAGAACAGCAGCGCTGACAGCGATGTTTAATAGACATTTTCAATTTTATCCACTCTCTTTTCTCGGTCGTCTCTCCATTACATGTCATAAGCTCAATGTATTGTTTGGCGGCATCTACATCGGATCTCGAATGTTTCAATTCGAAAGTCTTCGAAATATCTTTAGAAAAGCTTCACTAAATATTCACATTTCATATTACTCTTGACAATGGATGAAAACTCCTCTTGCGTGTTTATTTATGTGGGTTGACAAAGAAATAACACAATCACAAGAACAAGCGAGTTACTAAATATCTAGGTGTACTCTGATAAACTAATGTGATAAGATAGTTATAAGATAAAGATTATCATAAAAATATAGCGAGATGGAACTCTGCAGTCATAAGATTAGCTTCTTTTCATCACTTAATGTATGATAAGCTTCAGAGAGAGTCTTTCCTTTGGAGATAGTCAGGCTCCTTTCATGTGCGTGGGAGTAAGGCGAGTTAAAAACCCTTTGGTTGAAAGAGTTTCAAAATAAATATTTACCAGAATATCGTAGAATTGTAAGTTATTTACTGATACGATTATCCAGGGGCGCAACCACGATTTTTTCTGTGTGTGTTTACGTGTGTGTGTGTTTCTACTGGTTAGTAAGTTTATTTGTTTTTTTTCCTTTTTATCGGGACAAGGGAGAATATGTTTACCTTACAATTAATAGTTCACCATAATTCTTCAGATGTAATTGGTATCACGTTTTCAAACGATATTTCTAATTTCAAAACCTAAATACGTAAGTAATATATTAATTGCCGATTTAGCCACTCAAAAGTTCAATATTTCCGTCAAAAAAACGTAACTCTCCCACCAGAAAACAATTAAATTACATTGCAGTTTCGTTAATAACCTAAAAGCAATTACACCAGTCAGTGTCCTAGCTTGCTTAGGAGTCATTCGGGACGGGATATATCGGTGCCTCCTTTCGTACTATTCAACTTGTCGCTGATTTGCTATTCCAAAGAATGCCCGCTCACCCTGGCAGCGCAGATCACAACTCCACTTCCCCTCGGTGTGCGCGCTACCCGTCTGCCCCCAGTGCCCCTGTCGCACGCGCATTCCATTGAGCGCCACCTACATGAGTGCACTGGTTGCACCCGAGAGCCAAATCGTCATGTAGTATTCTAAGAACAATACAAGTTATTTGGTGCACTGCGACATTGGCGGGAAAACTTGCGATAATCTGCAGGCCATGATTCAGGTGTGTTGTAGGTTTCTCCCAGAGGGGCCAGAGCTGCCGTTCGATACGGTCATGCGGTGCAACCGTAACGAAATAGAGCTTCTAAACTTTCTACAGACCATTAAATTCATGACCCTTCAAAGGTCTCAGCCGAATCTGTCGGTGCTGAGATCACGGCCCCTCCGAGGGATCTCAGCTGGGACCACCGGCGCTGAGTGTATGGCCCCTCGGTGGGATCTCAGCTGAGTCCGCTGGCGCTGAGTTCATGGCCCCTCAGAGAGATCACAGCTGAGTCTAAGGCGCGTAGTTCATGGATCCTCAGAGAGCTCTCAGCTAAGACCACCGGCGCTGAGAGTATGGCCCCTCGGTGGGATCTCAGCTAAGTCCGCTGCCGCTGAGTTAATGGCCCCTCGGAGAAGTCACAGCTGAGTCCGCGGCGCTTAGTTTATGGCCCATCACAGGGATCTCAGCTGAATGCGCGGCGTTGAGTTCACGGCCCCTCAGAGGGATTCATCTGAGACCACCGGCGGCGCTGAGTTCATGGCCCCTCAGAAGGGTCTCAACTGAGTCTGCCGGCGGCCTCACGGCACTCGGTGTTAAGCACCCCCAGCGTTGGACAGGTCGCGAGCGGGCGGGCGGGTTGGAATGAGGTGTGCTACGGAGGGCCCGCGGAGACCTTAATTGTTCGGGCGCGTGGGGGGGGAACGGGGGAGGTGGGCGCGGGGGCGGGGGCGTCCAGCGAGGCGAACGGACTGCGCGATGCCTGGGCTCATGATCAGCTCAGCCGATTCAGTTTGCTGCGCTTCCGGAGGCGAACGCGGCTCAGCGCCTTTCCCATTCCACTCGCAGCAAGCGCGTCCTTCCTTCCCGTGACGCTCCGCGGGCGGCGTTAAAGGAGCCCCCCGGACCCCGGAGTGGATTCGTTCAAAACCTACGGCCCCGCTACACAGGCGCCCCTAGTCGACACTTCATTGTGGTTTATAAATATGTAATTTTCATTAGAATTACATATGTTTAATATTGCACCATTAACTAAATTGACAGTGCTTGGAGTCTCCTTAAGATATTAATGTATGCTCAGAATTATAGTTGCATCCTCTTGTTTTGGACTACGCACGCCTATGAGAAGTTGTACACACATTTTAAATTGATTGTAGCTGTGTTACCAGAAAGACGATATTTTGACATAGAGTACGTAAAGAGATTTTCAGTTAATGATAAAATAGTATAACTTATTAACAATAGCGATATTTTTTATAACTTTTTGTTGAAGCCACAGAGTCAGAGAAACTTATTATCCAATCAGGACAAAAAAAAACTTAATTTTTATTAATCTTTATTACTTTGTAAATGAAAACACACCATAGTTAATGATGTATCCTATTTTAGACAATTACTGAAAGAATTGCAGAAATTTCTTTTGATTAACGTTAAAAACAATAAAACTATAAGAAGTATGACTATAATATTTGCATGATTTCTTGAGATTCCAGAATCACTCTTTTAATTTACCCAGTTGAATTATGAATACAAGTACCAGAATAAATGATTACCATCACATGAAAACTAGAAATTGTCGCTCCAGGGTAATATAAAACTTACCTAAAACCATAAACGAACAAAATATTTTATTTTATAATATTGCTAACAAAATTGCAGCTCACACCCCTGATTCTCGACTACGACAACTAGCAATATGAGAGCTCAATAAAACTTGCTAACACTGTTGTGTCGAATTCGCACCGTGGACATAGCCTTATTGAAGTAACGTCAAAATATCATCTTACTGGTTTCACTGCAAGAATTGGTATCATGACAGTACAAACAATTAGAAGTACTCAAATTAGCTTCTCTCTGAAAAAGTATATCCTAAGGATTCAACAATGTCTAGTATAACCTAAATGTCTATACTTTGTACAAAAATCTTGAACATCAATATTGGAAAAAAATTGCGTAGTAACACTCGTTGCCACAAAATTATTTCAAGAATTTGACGAATGTACATACCTCTTCTTCCGGAGCTCTAATACAATGGCTCATTCCAGTTTGGTTACATTCACCCGTAATTAAGCTCATAGGCTGCATAGTCAGACCACTTACTCCCCATAAATGGAGTCTACGCTAATCAGTTGCAATTCAAACAGCGTACCTTCCTCAATGTCATAATGATTTACAGCGTCTCATTAACCCTAATATCATGTTAAATCAAGGTAATTTCGCCTTCTCTTGCGCCATTAATAAACATAGGAATGTTGAAGTTCTCCCCTTTTTTAAGTAAAAAAGAAAGTAGTAAAAATTGCAATTTGCATTAAATCAATATATACTTGTTTACTACTGGTTCGGCATTATTTTAAAAAAAAGTTATAATTCCAACTGATTCCCACAATGGCCCAAGTTCGGGCACGCTCCTCGAGGCAGTGACGTCGTTTGTGTTGGTGTCGATAAACGAGAAAATTTATAGTCCTTGCCTGCAATTCAGAGTTTGGGTCAGTTTTTTACCGTTTAATTGAGTGGAATTGAATTACCTTCACCGAGGAAGGGTAGTGAATCACACGGTTTTTCTAGTTCCCCTTTACTGAGTGAGTGACTCTTACACTACAGTGTCCCGAGTTTCGACAAAATTGTTTTCTCATGGGGGAAATTCAGAGTAAAGCCCTACTTTCAACGCAAGAATCAAACAATGCAACTGTACAATAAACAGTATATTCAAAATAACTATAGCGTTCATTTTCATCACCTCTATAAATATTTTCCCCAGGTTATTTCAACACATACACTAACAAATATCAATTAAGTATAACATCTTGATGAAAATCAATATTCATTGCAAATAGTTTTAAACGTTTATAAGTTCACAACTTGTTCTAAAATGCATTTTAATTATTTCGGCATCTATTATTGAAGAATCTTTCTCAATTTCGAGCAAGGCAAAAGAAGCATTTCTGTGCCCTACAGTATGTTTCTGAGTAAACAGCAAAGGCCTATGCTCAAGAGCTTCGCGGGCAGTATTTGCGCCTGGCTTTTGGGCGGGATGGAAACGGTTTACCACCGTAGTCTCGCCTTCTTTTATTGTAATCGCATAGCTCAATGTATTCCTTTTTGGAAAACTATTCAAACTTTTACTATTCTACGTCTTTTTCCCATCTCTGACAACACGCACATTCCAAATTAAAAAGATATTACGCATGACAGCAGCAAAATGGAGCTAACAAAATATTTTAGTTGAGATAAGAGTCTAAAAATTGCTTATTCGTTTCTTTTTAGCACAATTTTCTCTTAATGTAATGTTTTGTTGTTTTTCGCCGTTGTTAAATCTAACAATACTCATTTTTAGTTTCATACTGTAGGCCCTATTGCGAGTTTCATACATACTCGTATAATTTTTACATCGTTTTACCATTCTTTTTTAGCACTTAGAAGGTCTGCAAATCTGACTAATGAAACGTCTGCATAATGTTTATTTTCTTCAACTGACTTGCTGAATTAAAACTAAATGTGCAAATATATAAGTGCTACTATTATTACTACTCATTGTAACCTTTTCTGTTGCGACATATTTATATTCGTATACACTGTATTTGATGTGACATAATAAATATAGTAGAGTTTACGTAGTCCACCTGTAAAAAGTCGTGTAAACAAAAAGCACTCGAGTAGAAAACACGCGTAGATGTAAAATTACGGTCTACAGTAAAATTCTGTTTTTAAGAAGCTGCTTCTTCCTGTTTTGTGGCTCGGAAAATTGATTAGGTCAGTCCTCGAAAAACATTTCATTTCAGCGACTTCACATGATATAAATTACACTTTTTCAATTAAAATATTAGAGTTTTATTTTCACAACCAACTGATATTTTATTCTGTATTCGTCATTTTTTTTTTTTTTTTGTTATTCTGAACAAAACATTTGGTAGAAAAATAAAATTCACTTCTTGTAAAGCAATACTACTAAATTCGAATTATATTGTCTATTTTCATCTCGAATAAGTCTATTTATGCGCGTGGAACGAGAGATGTTAAGGATACTAGCAATCGAGTTCGGGCCGCGGGTCGTCCGAATGGTCGTTGTTGCTCCGGAGCGGTGCAGCGCGGCGGCCGAGCGGTCAGTCTCCCTCGGTGCAGCCTGCGGCCACGAGGGACCTTGAGTGTCAGCCCTCGCCCGACAGGCGGCTTCGCCTCGGAAGGTTGTGTCTACGCCAGGAGTTTGGGCCTCCCATATTTTTATGACGGAGCTTCCTAACGCTTCTTTAGACGCGTGTTAAAAATGTCAGATCATCCCCTTGGACAGAACATTCCGAAAATATTATTTTAGAATGGAAATATACCTTTTTCTGAAAACAAATAAATGTCTGTTGTGTTCTAAGAGATTTCATCTCAAGGCGATCTTATGATTTCAAAATATTTTAACGTAAAAAACTGACGAACATGTAAACTAACGACACGAGATCCGGAACAGGTATTTAGGAAATGCAGGCTGAGAGTTTCGTGATGAGAGGGGTGAGCGAGCCACTCACCGCTGTCTAAAAACTCCTCATTCCTGCTTCCCGGCTGCAGATGCGTGGGCTGCTGGTACCCGTAGGCCGGCAGCCAATGATTACTCCCAGTGGCGTCCAGGCGGTCGCTCCACTCGGAGAAGGTAATGTCCTCCATGGCGGCGGTATCACAACGCAACCCTCAAACACATGAGCACACGTCACGAAGCAGGCACTCTCCGCGAAGCACACCGGCACACATCGCCCGCGCGTAGCGTACTGCGCCCGCCCGCCCCGCGGCCCGCCTCCCACGACGCGGCGCGGCGCCGCCGCTGCCTCCCGCTCCCTCCGCAACGGCCAACCGGCGCGCGCGCCCGCGCTCACGTGACCCCGCCGGCCCCGCGCTGTTTTGGCGCCACGTACGCAACAGGTGGCGCGCCATGTGCGTCTGCTGTCACAACACGCCGGCCGACACCGAGCGACGCGGCGATGGGAAAATTCACCTGTCACAACCGAAAGCAGATGTTTTAGTTTTCCGGCGGTCGGACATTTTTTTGCCTATGTTATAAAGTTATTTCTGCAAATTCGATAACTTCGCATATCTGGCTTTGGAAAATAAGGGACACACATTCAGGACACCGCAGTTTCATTTTCGTGACGATCCGCAATCTGTCGTTTGATTTCTTCTGTCTTAAGGTATTCGAATCGAAATATGAGGCATTCAATGTGCAAATCTGTTTGTTTTACATGTATGTAAAAATTAATCACATTTCTCTTATAACAAAATATGTAAATAAATTTTCTTCTTTACAAGTTTTTTCTACAAAAAAATCTGTTTATGGCAAAGGTGAAAAAATAACTGGAATAACCTCAAATCAGTTGTTTTTGTAACAACAATAGCTAGACGAAAGATCAGAGCATCTCTGACTACAGCAAATATGCTTAATTTATCATTTTGGCAGTTGTATGTTCAATAAGAGTAAGGTTTTCACTTCTTCCCATATCCAAACACTATTTTCAATTCTGAAACTCATTTTTACCCAATGAATTGAAATCATCATACTCCTCCTTCTTCCTTAAAATGACACTTTACCCTGCATCGGATATTTTGTACTTCGGATACTTATATTTGTAGTTGCCAATGTCTAAAGATATAGTTCAGCTAGGTTTTTGTAACCCAAGTATATAGGTCTTCTGGCTTTTGAAATAGTGACAATTTACTCCTTTCTTCTAAACACTAAATAGTTATCACAAGTATCAAAAACAAAAATCATTGGACTTTATCACAATAGTGCTTGTAGTTTATGAAAAGTAGTAAAATACAAATTTAAGAACTGTATGTTTACATTGAGCAAACTTTCAAGAATATTTTAAATACTCGCACAATGTCACATTTTGTTTGCAATCATCCAATAATCTCTTTCAGAATCCTAAGTTAAATTAAACTTTTGATTATTTAAATTGTTAAACAGTTGCCATTTATCTTCATTTCATGCTCTTAGAATTTTAATTAATATAAATTTTAATTCATTCTCTTAAGTATACATAACTGGCGCGTAGTAGCTGTAAATAAACATTATACATAGGGAATAATTGCATTCCATGTTGGTTCAGGTACCTCAATTAAAACACAAATTACATAAAATGTTTAATAGTCATATTCTTTCATTTACTTACAATAATTTTCATGAACAATCATCCTAGACATTTTCACATTCAATAATATCACATCTTTAATATACATTAGATAGAAAAATAGATTAAGATTCATTTTCAATTTTAAAAATCTTCTACAGGCACACATTTAAAAAAAAATTGTATCCATTTATATCATTCACTTTCTTTAATTAATAGTTCACAAACAAAAGATTTTTCATCAACCTTAAAGATGCCTTAGTATTTAAGACTTTTCTAATATCAATTAGAAAACAGGAATGTTTCAATGAATTCAGCCCATAATACCTTCACATAAACAGAATTTCTTAAACCAAATAACTTGCTTGTAATAAGATACTCAGATATTTGATTTCATTACATTTATAATACATTATTACTGTTATTATAAAACTGTCTTGGACACATTCAAGTACTTCACATTCATATCTTCACAATTAAAAAATTGACTTTTGTTCCATCGTAATACTGACACAATCACTGCCTCACTGGCAGTGGTTCATCATAAATTCCTCGAGGTCGTTTGCTCTGAGGATCAAAGGGACTTTTAACAAAAGGTATAGCATCATAGCGTTTCCCCATAACTTCTACCTGATAATGTCCATTTGTAATGAAATCAGAAGTTATTCTTCGCCCCTCAGGATGGCGAACGTACCTGCAAATTATTTAAAATGAATAATTTTCAACATAGAACACTAAACATTGATAAATGAAACATAAACAGAGTTCTTTTTGTCCAAAACTGAGTGAAATTTTCCTTTTAAGATAAATTTGAACTGCTCACTCAATGGGTTTACTTTTGAACAAATTAATGTTGTCAATTAAATTTAGTACTAATTGAAACCAAAATAATAATTTAGCACTAACACTATTTGTAATATTTGTAAAAATCAGACAAAATATATTTGAATGAAGTAATTGAGGTTGCTACGAAAAATATTGGTTAGAATATTAATTGAGAACAGGAAATGGGGCCCTATCCTACATGTACACATACAAGGCAAGGAAAATTATTCTTTGGTACAATTTAAAATAGTCTCTGCGAAGGTCAGAGTACATTTTGAAGAAAAGTACGAAAAATGACTTACCCTGAGCCAATGCTAGCCCCTAGAGCATAACCATAGTCCCCTCGTCGCAAATATCCAACAACATTTCCATCTTTCCACACAGTCTCAAGGCCCCAAACTGGAATTTGCCTGAAATGTGTATATACTTTTAGATTAAACAAATTGTAATAAATAATATGAAGCAGGGATAGTAGATTAACACATTAAAATACTGTAAGTGTCCTTTCATCCACTTCTAATTTTTTAAACAAATTTTAATATTAGTTCATAAATATTTCAAGAATTCTAATATACATTTTTAAAATCATAAAGGTTAAAGCATATTCCTTTTGTATGCATGTTCAATATTTCAATATTATGAGGGGGCTCCATAGTTTGATCATACTTAAGGCCCCTTAAATTATTTATCTAGCACTGATATGAAGAAATATTCTTTAACCCCACAGGTTTGAGAAAATAACATTACAAACTTTTATTATTAACTCATACTCAATTCATTGGGGGTAGGGGATGTATGCCACGCACAAGGTCTAAAGGTAAACAATGATAGAAAAGTGGCCACAGGTGAAAGTAATGAACTTTCAAGACAGGCACAAAGAAAAATCCATGTAGTAGTTCCTTGGGCGTACACTTTTTGATTACCTTGATTACCATATCAGGATTAAAGCCAAAGACTGGCAATTGAAAATATTTTTTTTATTAATACAAAAAAATGAATAAACCTACTCTTGCAGCTGGAAGAAAGTGAGTCTTTTTCTTATGCCTTTTCGTTTTTCTACTTCTAATGCATTCTTTCCCAAGAAGTCACCTTCTTCTCGACAGGTGAATCCAAGTCCGGATTCAATAGGCAAGTCGTCAGTCCTCAAGTCAAAATTCCACAAGTGGTAACCTACATAAATGATGTATATTAAATTTTACAGATCAATATCAGGTTGATTTTTATATAATCATTGTGACACTTCTTTTTCATATAATCAAAATCAAAACATCACAATGTTCTTTAACAAGTGTACCAAGAAGTTTTATAGTATAATGCATATATTATCAGTTCCACCTTATTTCAAAATAGCACAATAAACTAGATAAAATTGAAAAATGTTCACATAACTATCTCCATTTATTAATTTTATTAACCAACAATATTGTTCATATTTATGATTTGAAACATGTTTATGATCATATTCTTTTTCTAATATAAATAGGCTGATTCTTAAAAAATAATTTCTATTAAGTAATTATTTATTTAAACTGCCACCCTATAGTTTTATTGCCCAAAGCTGTTACTTGCTTTGCTAAATCTCGCATATAATCTTCATCTTTTGGCCACTCTAACCAACATCAGTACAGGAGAATTCCATTCAATATTGGCAAACTTTTCCAAAAAGTCCACATAGTAGAACTACGCTTAAAATTACTAATCAGCCTAGGAGGTTGTGTGGAAAATAATTTTTTTATCATTGGAAATTGAATTTGATCACATGAAGTTCATTTGCAATTATTAAAGCACAAAAAGCTTTTATGCCATGTTGTGATCATCTTCAAGGCAAATGTGTGGTGAATGTGACAAAAAAAAAGTGAATTATGAAATTGTTTCTTTTCACAAGATACTACTTATAATGAAAAAAATATTACCTTTTTCATGAGAGAGAGAATTAAGGGCTCGATAACCAGCATGACGCAGACCGAATCGTTTCCCATTTTCCCACAGGGCATTGTAAACAGGTACACACGAGTCCATTGGCAGGTGGAGCTCCCACCCAAGCTCTCCCACAAAACTAACACGAATCATCCGACATAAATAGCCTGCAACTCTTGTGAGTTTGCTAGTTGCATAAGGGAAACTTTCATTGCTAAGATCTTCTTCTGTCAGAGGTTGAAGCAGATCTCGACTATAAGTAGAGTTCATGTTACAAGCAGATCGTTAGCCTTCAAAGTAACGAGAAGAGGTAATTTTACAAAACGTTTCTGGCAAAGACAATTCTCACCTGTTTGGACCTTGAATAGATAGCACACCCAACTTATCTGTATGATCAGTAAGGGCAACTTGAAAATTTTTCTGATTCAAAACTGAGTTTATATGAGCCCATGTATGGAATGCAGACATCCCAGATCCAACAATGTAGAATCCTCTTCCCTAATGAGACAGAATGAATAAAGAGTAAATATGCATACATATGATTTTGGAGATTAAAAAAAAACATCTGAAGATCATACTTTCTCCCCCCATTCATCACATACAGTATGTATCACATCACATAGTTTTTTTTGTTTTGTTTGATGAAAATACATTAAATCAAAGACAGGGATGCAATATAATATAATGTTTAAAAAGTTTCAATGAAAGATCAAATAAATGAAAATTATTAAAAAAGCAACAACTCATTAACTTAAAAAGTTTGGAAACTGATCTTATGACTTTTCTTCCAAGTTTCTTTATCATTTTTCCACATGCTAGCAATCATTTCACATTTACCAATAGCTATTCATTTAGACCACAACTTCTTTTTAATTCAATATTCGTTGTTCATGCATACATATATAATTTCA